TCATACTAATTTACTGGGTCTCTGCTCAGACAACCTCCCCAACACCATGAATCTGGGATCCACTGGGATCCATGTTGGTACCATAGCCACAAGTTTTCTGCACTGTATTCTCTCCCATTGTGTAAACATTGGCGTTCATCCCTGACCTCCTACCAGAAGGCTCAATGCTTGGCACAGGGTGGAAACTCAAATATTGACTGACGGAACAAAAGAAGTCATTCCCTTGCTCCACCAAACCTGCCCTCCTGCTATTACCTCATCTCATGGAATCCCTACTGATCTAATTACACGAGCCAGAAACTTCAGATCATCTTAGATCCCTCCTACTTCCTCACCATGACAGCCAGTCATGCATCCCATCAATGCCACTGGGACATCTCTCCCTCTCAGGTCTTCTTTTTCTAAGATTGCTATGTTCCTGCCAGGTCTCAGCAGTTTCCTACTTCATCTTTCTGCCTCTTTTAGGCTGTCCTCTTCAATCCACTCTGCAAAACAACTGCCACTATCTTTGTCTAATCATCTGCTTAATACACTCCAATGATTTCCCCATCTAGAGAATGCAATCCAGATTTCTCTCTCACTGATCCTGGTCCAGGCTGCATTTCTAGGTTCTTTCTCAGTGCTCTCCCAGGCCAACCCAAGCGATGACTTGCTATGCTGCCCACGTCTCACATCTTCATGCTCTTGCTAAAGCAGTTCTCTCAGTCTGGGCGTTCTCTATCTTCCGCCATCTAGCCAAATCCAAGTCTTTCTTTTCACTAAAACATGCTAATCTTAAGGATTTCAGAAAACTCCCAGGGTCCTTGCATTTGTGTCCTCCGGCACTTCATAAGTAACTCATCAAACTGCATTATAGTTCCTCATTTTGTGCCAGTCAATCCTTGCTAATACCTTGAAGATAGTAATTATGTTTCATTCTTTCAGTAAATATTACTAAGCACCTTCTATGTGTTAGACATTTTTCTTATTAATCTGTATATTCCAGTGTACATTGCAAAACTTGATACAATAAGGGTACTCAGTAACTGACTGTAACTGAACATACTCATTTTTTACGGGAATATGGAAGAAACATGTATTTTTATTTTAATGACTGTCTTAACTCTCTCTCTCTAAAAGATAAATTATAGTTCATCTTCTGTATTTAGTTTCTATTTCTCATTTGAAAACACCCCCTTCTAGGACCAATTAGGTGAACTGGTTATATACTAACCTGTTTCTCCAATGCCAAGTACACACTAATATGAGAATGAGAGTGGTGAGGACCATGACCAGCACAGGGACAAGCACTGCGGCCAAGGCTACATCTGAAATAGGCCAAAAGCAGAAATTATGACTGGCAACAGTGAGAATGAACCATATCAGCATTCAAAGGTTTTTATCTCAAGAAATGCTATAAACATTGTTTATGAAATGAGACTAGGCATGAGTAGGTAACCTCAGGAGCTTTCATGGATGCGTGAAAGTTTATCACATTATTTGACCCACCTTTGTATTATGTTTTAAAAATTTCATAGTAACTTGATTTTTATAGAGATAGGAAGGGAGAGGGAGAAAGAAAAATCTGGATGTGAGAGCAGAACATTGATCAGCTGCCTGCCCCTACTGGGAACTGAGCCTGCAATCTGGGCATGTGCCCTGACAGGGAATCAAACCTTCAACCTCTTGGTTCATGGGTCAATGCTCATCCTCTGAGCCACACTGGCCAGGTCATAGTAACTTCTTAAATCACCAAGACAATGATTGAAAGACAAATGATAAACTGAGACAATATGTTCTGCATGCAACGAAGAGTCTGCATGCGATAAAGGGTTACTATAATTAAAATGTGACAGGATATACAAGTCAAAATCAAAGAATAGAAAAGTAGGCGGGGATGAATGAACAATACATTTAAAAGAACAAGTGACCATTCATGTTACCCTCACTAGTAATCAGAAAAATGGAAGTTAAATCAAGAATAAGATCGTATTTCAAATTGGCAATTACTTAAAAATAACTTATTGTTGAAGAGAATATTGGGAAAAAGGTATTTTTATGGGAATATAAAATACTTTCTGTATCATTTTGGGGCAATATGTATAAACAATGATTACTTAGCAATTCCACATCTAGAATTTATTCTTTTTTAAAAATATATTTTATTGATTTTTTACAGAAAGGAAGGGAGAGAGATTGAGAGTTAGAAACATCGATGAGAGAGAAACATCGATCTAGAATTTATTCTTAGGAAAAAATAAAAATGACATTCAAGGATGTGTCTTTAAAGAAGTTTGTTTCTGGAAATAATCCAAATACCCAACAATGAAAAGGAGTAAGTACATCCTTACAGGAAAATATTCCCAACAAATGGAAATGTTGCAGCACCAGGGCACAATACTTACAGATACAGAAAGGAGACAATGTCGAGTTAAGTACAGAAAACCAATGTGTGTATCAACAGGGCAGGAACTGACACAGTACTGGATCCTACAGGGAGGAGGAGCTCATTTAATCCCCTTTTCTCACTCCACAGATAAAGAATCCTGGGCCCAGATCCAGAAAATGGGCTGCCTAAAGTCATTTGCAACATTAGTTTCTTCATCTGTCAACCCCTCCTGGCCATGAGGATGGCACAGCTGCTGATGTCCACTGGGGGCTGAGGGTCAGACACTGTGCCACGCCTTATGCATTTATAATTGTATCCAAGACAGAAAGAGGCTGACAATAACAGGACAGGGAGAGGATGATCAATAATAGGGAGCCTCTGAGAAGCTGGATGGATGGGGCTAGGGCATAGGTGAAGTGACCAGTCTTGGGTATTGTGAGGAATCCCTTCTTTTTTACTGAAGTGGACAGAGGTACAGGTGAGTTTGTAGGTTCCACAGAAAGGGTGCTTCCTTCTAATGGCTTCTACTTTCTTTGTGAAGTTGAAGAGGTTACTGGGAGTAAGTGAATATTTTTGGGTCACAGGTTTAAAAAATACGGAGGCAACTGTTGAGAACAGTCAGAAGAGGTAACATGGAAAACAGAAAGGCTACCGGTTGGCGCTGAGGCCCTGTGGAGGAGGAGCGGGAAGCTATTGTGGCACAAACCTGACTATGACCTGCTTTCCTTCATCATCACTTACAGCCTGAATGTGAAAATGGAGAAGGCGTGCATAAAACAAATCCTGTTAGGTTAGACAGCATTAAACCTTCAGAAAGTAAATATGCTTTTTTATTTCTAAATTTTGTGAAATTGGAGAAGAATAAAGTTTAATCAGAGGCTCTAAACCACCTGCTGAGATTTGGGTCTATATATCACTGTCCCAGAGAAAAGGAGACAAGAGCTCTTCAATTAAAAAACCCTGCACATTCTTCGTTATTCTTTTTAATCTTACAGGGATCATAGTTCTGGAAGATAATGCTTTAAGGACACTTAGTTTGAGATTTTAAGGTTCTATAATCAGATTTTGAACAATAAAAATGACTGTTCCTTCCTCCAGGCATGTGGCCTGAGATTCTTGCATGCCTTCTGCAAGCTGTAAGAAGCACTCTGTGGATACTAAGATCTCCTGACTCTGGGAATTCTTGCTTTCCTCTAGATTTGTTTGGAAGATAAAAAAGAAACTGACACTTGGAAAGTTGGAGAAAGTTATATGAATCCAAAGAAATTTTCAGAAAATGAGAATGATTCAAGTTCTATATGGCACAAGTTACTCTGGATGAATTGCTTTCTCTTCTCTGCTGTCTTGAAAATAAGTGTGCTTTATTTGTCTGCCAACACTGAAACTAATTCTGCTAGAACACCGAGGCTTTGTTTTCTGCATTCAACTGAAATTTTGTTTCTTGACAACCTATAAAATCAAAGAGCTACTATGCTTTGTATATGTCAATACCTTACTTATCATTAATAAAATTTGAAAGTAAATTCTACTAATACATCTATATTTATAATCTGAAAAATTATAATAGCAAACATTTTAAGAACAGAGACCACATTTTTATGAATGTTAAATCAGAGTATTTTTAAAAAGTATTACCCTAACCTTAACTGAAAGTTTCACCAAAAAGTTCCCAAATCTAATAATAGCATAATATGCCCCCGACAAAGGGCAAATAGCAATATTAAAATATTGCTTCTAATTAATTCCCTTTTAATGTGCACTAATTTTGTGCACCAGGACACTAGTTAATATATAATAAAGAAAAAAAGGGCCCTAACCTGTTTGGCTCAGTGGATAGAGCATCGGCCTGAGGACTGAAGGGTCCCAGGTTCGATTCCGGACAAGGGCATGTACCTTGGTTGCAGGCACATCCCCGGTAGGGGGTATGCAGGAGGCAGCTGATCAATGTTTCTCTCTCATTGATGTTTCTAACTCTCTATCCCTCTCCCTTCCTCTCTGTAAAAAAATCAATAAAATATATTTAAAAGAAAGAAAGGTTTTCTGCTAGGCTTTTAGTTATTTTTAGAAATATTTCTAGGCACGAGACTCCATGTGTTTTGCTGTATAGGGACAAAAACTGCAAGAGGAGACCTAGAATACAGCAGCCATCTGTAAATGTTTAAAGACAATTCTACATGGCTCGAGAGAATAGAACTTTGAGCAAAGCAGTCAGTTTTTTTCCCCAAGGAAGGGAATCAATCTTTTTGCTATACTTAAAAAACACAAGTCTGAGGAAAAGGTTTAAAAGCTAGAAATGTTCTTGAAAACTTAAGTTGCAAATAGTAAAACACGACTACGTAACAGGTGTGAATGTTGGGTTCACCCACCTTTGGTGACATCTGGAGTTACGGTAGTGTTTTTTATATCAGGAGTGGCAGTTGTTTGTTCTGTCTGTACAGGAAATTCATTGCGACTTCGAGGTTGTAGTGGTTGAGTGAATTTGGGGCCACGACCTTTAAAAAAAGATTTAAAAACTTTATTCTTTTATCTACATCAACTTGATTAAAATTGTTATTTTAGAATGCTTTTTAACATATTTATGGAAAATTATATCATAAACCCAGGGAATATGAACATTTCATGTTCAAATGAGGCATACCTTTGGCTATTTTTGGAGGGGCTGTAGTGTTTTTGAGGTCATTGCTGTTCCGAGGAGATGGAGGTTGAGTAAGTTTTGGAGGACGACCTTGAAAAATGGTTTAGAAAAGTTTACATGCTTTGCTTATAAAAACCATAGTTAAAAATAGTAATTTAAATGTCTTTACCATTTCCTAGAATACTTAATACTGCACAGTAATTTTAAATCTCAGAGAAATATGTCAGAAGGATAATATATTCTGTGTTAAAAGCACATATATACTGGGATTTCTCAGTTTTTAAATAAACTGAGAGTAATCTTCTTAAGAAGGAAAATAATGGGGAGGCAAATAATGTTGAACTCTAAAGCTATAAAAATTTAACTGCATTTTGATAGACTACCCATCAATTCATTTGAGAAATATTTATGGAGGGCCCCCTATGTGTGAGGCACGGTGGTAGTTCTTAGAGCTACAATAGTAAACAAAGTATTAAAACATTATATAATATTGAAGGAAGTTACTCCCACTTTTAATTTATGCAAAGTAAAAGTCAGTTAGACTGAAGTTACTAGTATAATCAATCATCAGTGTTTATGTGATATGAATATTATATTACATGAGACCTGATTAAAAATTAAGATTGAGAGAAAAAAATTAAGATTGAGAACACATTTGGAAAGCAATCTCATTATATCATCTCATGAATGATGCCCTCTATCCAACTTGTAATTTTGAAAATAATGTTGATGTCTAACTTTTTAAGATGATAACTGTTTCTTTTTAAAAAATTCCTTTAAGAAGATAACATAATTTAGAGGTTAAACACATTGTTACTAACTACCATCTCTGAGAACAGCAGTTAATTAGCATTTTTAATTAATCCAGTGAAAATACCATGTCTGAAATATACTGTGGCTTTACCTTTAAGAATAAACTGGCATCCCAGCAGCTCCACTTTCATGGCAATTTTCTGCTGCCATTGGGTAGGATTCACTCTAATAAAACGTGCAATAATTGGTGGCAAAAAGTTATTACGCACATCCTGGTGATAATCTTTGTTTCCTTGAAATATCTTTAAAAAACAACAAAAAATTGGTACTTTACATCAACAGAGGCCAGGGCTAAATTGCTCCACTGAAACATGTTTTTGTTTTGGGCCTTAAATGAGATCTGCAAAGTATGACAATAAGAATTAATTTTTAAGAAAATAAATGAATCACAATTTTGAAAACTATTAAGATGTTGCACATTCTTTCTTTAAAAAAAAACATAAAACTTAATTTTTCCCATCACCATTTACCCCTTCTGTGCCCTCTTCCACCTTCTCCCATGCCCTCTTACCCAATCAACACACTGTTGGTCACGTCAATGAGCTCTCTCTCTTCTTTGCTCGATTCCCCTCCACCCCACTCCATACTCCTCGGAACTGTCTGCCTGTTCTCTATCTAGAGTCTGTCTCTATTTTAAGAAGCCGTACATTTTTCATCAAAAATTTATAAAAAAACCCACCCCATTATGAAATATAAAAATGATTTTAAGATGATGTAAACATAACAAGAATGCTAACTTGGCAATCTGAGATGAGAGCTTCAACTGTAATAATATGGTAAATTGTTATTAATAAATTAGTAACTCCAGTCCTATGGAATTACCAACCATTCCATATTTGTTTAAATATGTTGACTTTATTTTCAAAATAAAGCCTAACTGAACATATGAGATTTTAGAGGAAATGCTTTACTGTGAACTTTTCATAATTTTTCTTCCATTAAATAGACTGAAAGTGAGCATATACTAACACAACAGATATATACCTCCACCTAGTGGATAAACTACATAAACAAAGTTCCCATATTCTGTTTTCTTCTTGCTCTTTGAGCCAGAAAAGTGACAGTTACTTGCCTAATTTAACGATCATCACCAAACAGCAACAAATGCATTATATACCCCTAAGGTAAAAATATTATTTTAAAGTAACATCTCATTCCCTCAACTATTCAAGCAAATGACAGTACCTTACACTGGAAAAGCTCTTAATTACAAAGTCTTTCATAGGATTAACTCAGTTGCTCTTCATGACAACCCTGTGATCAGACAGAACCCAGGAAACTGAAGCTCAGAATGGGATGCCGCGGCCAGTCAGTGATAGAGCAGTGACTTGGATCTGTGTCTTCTGATTTATGCTCAGGGCTCTACTAAGCAAAAAAGAGCCCTCCTGTTCCTTCAGGCCAAATCATCGGTAGTTTCTAAAGACCATCAGTAAGTGAGCACCTGCCTAAAATCAAAGCGGTTTGTTTTTACTAGTTAAGGTAAGAGCAAGTAAATGTTTACTTCCTCAATCAAGCCATTCTCAAATATTATAGCTATTTTTTTTCCTGGCTGATTCACATGACATTAGATTGCAAATTTCTAGGATGTATTAATATCCTTCATTTTCTAAGAGGTTTATTTTGAAATTACAATAATCTCCACACTAGTAAGCTTCCATTATTCCCTCAAATATACTTTGAAATAAAATAAAGGCAATATTATTTACAGTTTATTGAATTAGTGGAACAAATAATAAACATAAAAACTATATCCCTGAGATTTTACTCCATACTGCAGTCTCACTTTAAAAAAAAATTTTAAAGGAAAAAGATTTTATAAAAACTAAGTAAGCCCTAGCTGGTTTGGCACAGTGGATAACAGTGGATAGAGTGTCGGCCAGCGGACCAAGGGGTCCCGGGTTCGATTCCAGTCAAGGGCACATACCTCGATTGCAGGCTCCTCTTGGTCCATGCCCTGGTCAGGGCTTGTGTAGGAGGCAACCAATTGTTGTGTTTCTCTCACATTGATGTTTCTCTCTGTCTTTCCCTTTCTCTTCCACTTTCCACTCTCCCTAAAAAAACAAAAAACAAACCCCACAAAAAGACACCAAAAAGAAAAACGAAACCAAAGTAAAATAGATTTGCTATGGTCAGCATGGGTCAGTGGTTGAACACTGACCTATGAACCAGGAGGTCATGGTTCAATTCCTGGTTCAGGCCACATGCCTGGGTTGGAGGCTTGGTCCCAGGTAGGCGGCATGCAGCAAGTAGCTGATCAATGACTCTCTCTCATCATTGATATTTCTATCTCTCTCCCTCTCTCTTCTTCTCTGAAATCAATTTTTTTAAAAAGATTCACTATAGTTAACCTATGAACATTTATTATAAATTCCTATGTAGAGGGAGGTTTGCAAGGTGTCATGAGGTAAAAAGGAAGATGGAAGTCAAAGTCTCCATTCTCAGGAAACTTAAATTTATTGGTTGTTAGCGCACACAAATATGGCATACTATTAAAAGCAACATATTATGAAAACAAGTTGTACAATCAATCCCATTTCAAAACAAAACTCAAAACTCAAAACTCTCTCAATCTGCATGTATGTGCTCATGCACATCTGCATGCTTTGAAAGGGTATGAAGATGAATACAATTTTCCTTGAATTGGGGGCAGGTGAGGGAGCTGATGGGCTAATAAATGAGGTAAAAGACTTATTTCGTATAGTTCTATGCCAGGACTTCTATTTCTATCCATGATTGGATTTAACCTTTTGGTTTACATTTCTGAGAAATCAAATAAAATATATGAAATCAAATAAAAATGGTTTTCAGACACTGGACAACAGGCAGCATAGGGAGATAATCCCTAAGAAAAGGGCAACAAATGAGGTGAGCCCTTCTCCTGTCCCAATATTGCTTAGGGAGAGCCTGGTGTTTCACTGAATCAAGGAGACAGAGCTCAGAGATGAGAGGCCAAGGCAGCCAGAATGCAGGGTGCAGTATAGGAGGGAAGAAGACTGCAGAAAGACTTCTAAGATCTGTAGGAAGATTCCCCTTAAATCTTCAGCTGTATATGAAGAAACTGTCTCAGGACAGGTGAAAAACCACCAGAAAGGAGCCAGTAGAACAATTCCGAGAGGCACAGAGAGCTGGAAACAGCTCACACTGCCAATAGCCAGAGTGAAGAAACACATGGGATGTTGGATTGAATATTTAGAACACTATTTCCTCAGTAGTAGAGAAAAATTAGAAAAGGCTGCTCAAGTCCTACGTAATAAAGCAAAAATGCAAGCTTTGAAAAGATAAAGATTTTCAAGTAATCTGTGTCCCAGAGTGAAGTTTAAACAAAATTAAAGGAATAATACAAAATGAAATCTAGCACCAAACAATGAAGTTTACAATTTCTACAATGTAAATATAGTTACCAGTCAAAATTTATTAGACATGTAAAATATGACCCATAATATCAATCAACATAAAAAGATCTAGGACATATTGATAGAATTAGTAGGCAAGGACATTGAGTTATTATATACTCCACATATTTCAGAGGTAATGGAGAAAGCATGAGCATGTTAGTGAAAGACATGGAAGAAAATTTAAAGACCCCACCTGAAAATCCAGAGGTGAAAATACAATACTGAAGATAAACACACAGGGCAGGGTTAATAGCATATCAGACATTCTACACTAGATTACTAAATTTGAACACAAAAAAGTAGAAATTTTTAAAGCTAGAACACAAAAGATGAAAACAATGAACAGCATCAGTGAACTGTAAGACATCTTCAGAAGTCATAATACTCATGTAATTAGAACTGAAGAGGAGACATGTTTGGGTAAAAAAAAAAGGCCTACAATTTTCTAAATTTGATGCAAATTATAACCCACAGATCCAAGAAGCTCAAAGCCCAAGAAGAAGAAACAATAAGACAACTACATAAAGCACATCATAATCAAGTAACTTGAAACAAATGATAAAAAGAAAATCTTAAAAGTAGCCAAGGGGAAAAAAAAGACACATTACATATTGAGCAACAATGATTAAGAAAGTAGCAGAATTCTCGCTCAAACAATGCAAACCAGAAAACAATGTAAGCATACCGGTAATTAAACTATTGAAACCAAAAACTGTCAACCTAGAATTCTCAACTCAGTGAAATTATCTTTCAAAATGAAATTAAAAAAATCTTTTTCAGAAATATAATTCAATGTTCTTAGGTGTTTTTATAATATAAATATGGACAACTTTTACAATTTCAAAAAATTCACTATACTTCATAAATATAAATATTATACAAATAAATGTGGATGTGCTAAGAATAAAAGGTAGTCAAGTTTGGGGGCATTAGAAGATAGAAATGGAGACAATATTGTTATTTGCTTCAATGGGCTGAGGCTCACCAAATATGAAGTTCATGTGATACCAAGTAGGAGAGAGGAAAGAAGGCCTTGAATAACAGCAGAAGAGTTTAGATCCATATGAAAGACTATAGGAAGCCCCTGCAGTTTTTGAACAGATGAGAAAAGTGGTAAATGAAGATATATTAATATCTCTCTATATAAAAGCCCAAATGACCATTATCCCCCACCCCAGCAGGCCTTGTCTGGCAGGCGGCAGGAGGCCCCAGCCAGCCCAGCCCCAATTGGGACTGGGCATGACAGCCCCAGTAGGTCCTGATCACTGGCCAGGCCTAGGGACCCACCCATGCATGAATTTTGTGCACTGGGCCTCTAGTATCATATTTCTGATAAAGAACTGATAGTATCATGTAACTAAAACAAAACTCACAGAGAACTGATAATATCGTGTAACTATTAAAAGTCGTTAAAAATATGTGCTCATCTATCAATTCTAGATGAGAGGACTCTACCTTCACCTGGGACATGGACTCTTGTAATTACAAGATCCTTGTGGTGGAGCAAGGGCCAGGAGCCAGGTGAAAGTGATAAACATTTAGATGGGAGCCACCTGTGCCTACTCTCAACCCTTCTCAACCCCTTCAGCTGGTCTAGCACGTTTCAGCACTGTCATGTTTATTAATTTATGTACCACAGTAGAAATCTGGAAACATATTAGGCTTTTCCAACATTCTGTGTATTGAAATGAAAAGCTTTTTAAAGACAAAAAATTGTAAGTTCCCTTTTAGAATTTCCTAATAAAGTATCTAAAAATTGAATTAAAATGTAGTGAGAAAAGAATCAATAAATTATTTAACCCTCACAATCATCAAAAGTGACCTAGAACCACTGAGAATTTCCTAACCATACTAAAATGACCAGAAGAGGGCAGAGTAAGATCAAACGATATTTAACTTTTAGACCACACAAGAGCTCCTGTGACTTTTGGCAAAGGTTCATTTAAAAAAATGTTTTTAAAAATACCTTGTTAATCATTTTACCTTATCCTGCTCCACACCAGGCTCTCTGTACACAGTCCACCTCTGCCCATCATCACTGTATAAAATTCGGTAGGCTGACACATAGTAGTTATGCTCCACCATGGTGGAGCCAATGGTCACAATGCCTGAGGAATGGAGAGTTGCTTCCATTAATGCACATGGTCTGGTCTTTGAAGTCTGTTCACCATTGAAACATAAACACTGTTCAAACATCTTTGCCCATAACACATTACCACATCTAAGTGCAAGGTTTCATTAAATAGTATGAAATCCTGGGCTTTGTTCCCTTGTAGAGACTGGGAGAATTATGAGCACACATAAGGAAAGAACCATTCTATTTTAGCAGCCCGTGTTCATATTATTGTAAAATATATTGCACCTATGGAGTAAAAATGACTTCCTAGGAATGAACAGATTAAAGATGATTACTAGTATTATTTTCGGAACCAAAGCAAAATAAATCTTTAACAAAACCAATCCCAACCAATTATGCTGATCACTTGCTAAATTGCTCTAAATAATTAAATTCATACTCAGCACATGTGGAATATTATTTATAGCACTTAGAGTACACTCCTTGAACATAAATTTCTTTTAATGACTATAATAGATGGCTATTTCAGATGTCTCCAGGTCCCTTTACTAAAACACTACCTTAAAAGAATCTTATTACAATAAGAAAAGCTAATAAGACTCAAATACCAACTCCTCTCCTCTGTCACGCTTTTTATAAAACCATCTTTAGTAACACTAACACCAGTAAAAAAAACTTAAAACCACATAATTAAATTTGCAGTGACTTAAGTTTCTATAAAAATTTTAGATGTCACCAGGTTTTAAAATAAAATCATAAGCTGTTCTAAAAAAAAGAAAAATCATAAATTTTTCTAAAAAATTACATCTCTTAACCTGTTATCTTCTTTTCCTTGTTGAGATCTATTTGTAACCATTGATACTCATCAGTGGCAAAAGCAGCCCAGGGAGGCCCCGGTTTCTTCAGCCTGGCCTTTTCGGGTCTCCAGCTGTTCTCCTGCCCTGTGTGGTCCGTCCACTCCAGCACAGACGAAGCTGTTATCTGAGGATCGGCAATCACACCAGACTCCATGCCCAGAGTTCCATAACAACCTGAAACAAAAAAGAGTCACTGTTTCTAGCTATAAACTTAAAATCTATAAAAAGTTGCTCACTGCAAACTTTCTACTGTACCTGTACACACTAAAGCAAATACTACACTGTAGTAGAAAAATTTCAAAACTAGGCACATGTTTTTTGGGTCTGTGTTTTGTGTCTTGTCAGGAACTGTGTATATTTATTTATGAGCAATCATTAGTTTAATGATTGGTGATATATTACCCTCTCCCCAGATAAGTTCCCAGGTCAATGGGTGACTCACACTCCTTCAGGTGTTTGCTCAAATGTTTCATTTTCCCTGAGGCTTGCCCTGATCCCATCAGTAACTCCTGCATTGTCTAGCCTTCCTCCTTCGCTTTCTACATATTTTATAATATTATAAACAATACATAAATAATAACTGACTTATTCACTACTTATTGTCCATCTCTCGCTACCAGAACGTAAGCGCCAGGAAAGCAAAATTTTGTTGATTATGCTCACTGTTGCCTTCCTAGACCAGAAGAGTCCCTGACGAATAAAGGAAGGCACTCAAATATTTTCAGTCAAATGAATGAATTACTTCTTCAAACAAGTTCAAAAATCACCTTTCCTAGAAAAAAATTCCTTGCTTCCATGATCATTTTCCTATTAACATAGAACTTCACTTATTTCATTCATTATTTTATTAAATGCCCTTCTAACCTCATAGGTGTTATTGTGGCAACTAAATAAGAAAGTACAACAAACAGCAACTAGCACAATGTCTGGCATCCAGTGTTATAAAAATTATAGGAAGTTATAAAGTCCATGAAAGGCTTACCACTCGTCTTGAATGTGAAAAGACTTGTAGATAAGTGTCCCCTGAAAGAGAGAAAGTATTTTTTTTGTGACATATCACATAACACATTAGTTCCCCATATTTGTCTTAGTAAACCTTTTTGTGTTTAATGTATAAAGAACTAAGAGTATTCTCTGGCTATATATTAGACAATTGATAAACTCCTAGCTAAAATTAAAAGTCTATTTTCTAAGCAGAACTTCTGACATCAGCATAAATAACTGTCTCTACAAGTATCTAGTTTCATATGACTGTGCAAATGTGTTCTTGTAACACATTTCTCTTTTATCTTGAGTATATATTTGAGTATATATTTCTCTTTTATCTCTTTTTCATGAAATAGACTCCTAAGCCTTTCCTATGGCAACTGCTTCTGGTGAAGGTGCACAGAAAGGGGTAAGTCTCAGACAAGGAGGTTCCAATTTCCTGGGGTAAACAGGCTATTGCTGAGAGAGACTGCATTTGTTACAGGGAATCAGCATGTCTAGAACAAGTTATGGTGTTGCAGGGCAGCACTGCACTTCGATTTCAAAGATTGGGGCTCCTGCCTTGAGCACAACATCCAGGTCATTACAAGTGGATGCAACTTGTCCTTATTTAAGTACTAGAGGCCCAGTGCATGAAATTTGTGCAAAGGAAGGTGGGGTCCCTCAGCCCAGCCTGCACCCTCTCCAATCCAGGATTCCTGCAGGATGGGGCCTAAACTGGCAGTTGGATATCCCTCTCTCAGTCCAGGACTGCTGGCTCCTAACCGCTTGCCTGCCTGCCTGCTTGATCACCCCTAACTGCCTCTGCTTGCCGACCTGATCGCCCCCCTAACTGGTA